GTATTAGCCTCTCTTATGCTTGGGAGGTGTGCTGCGGCTAATGGCGAGTGGTTGAGGTTGCTGCGCCTGCCTATTTGATTATCGTTTTCTTCCATATTTCGTATTCCTCTTGTCGAAATTATTACTTTCTAATTCTTCTTTGGGTTCTTTGATAACTCATCGCCATAATATGTTGCGTATGCGCGCGCGATGCCTAAGATCCGCTGCGACCTAACGCTAGACCTAGAGAGCACACGAGACAAGACGCCATGTTTCACTCCAACCCTGATCTAATTTAATCTATCAACTCTAATCCGAGGCTAGTATAAAATGGTTTATGCCTAATACATTACAATATTGGCCGATAAACCAAAAATGATTATTGATCTGGATTCATTATGATATTTTGAAAAGGGAACCCTAAAATAATATCATGTTCAGCGGGTTTTGATGACTGTTTCTATGAATTCGTATAAAATTAATATTATTAATTCGCATCACCCTAATATACCCAAAATAATCATTCATCTTGGTCCGATAAACCCAAAATGATTATTGATCTGGATTCATTAGGATATTTTGAACAGGGAAACCCTATAATAATATCATGTTCAGCGTGGTTTGATGACTGTTTCTATGAATTCGCATAAAATTGATATTATTAATTCGCATCACCCTATACCCTGTGGGGGTTTCAAATTAATGACCCTGCGCTGTACAAACGCCTCGTCCCTCTAATAGAGACGAAACTCAGAAAGGTTCCCGGTCATTATTGAAAATATGAATAAAAGACAAAGGAAGAAGCACTGCGAATGTTCTATATAATCATATGTGAAAAGACTTCTTCTTGATACTGTGAACTTTACATTAAATTTACATATTCCATGTGTGAGATAATTTCTAACGTAGCGTTCATCTTGCGAGTCGTGTCTCTCCTTGTCTGCCTTTTTTTCTTCGAAAAAGTTGAATTGCATGTCATCAATCACATGACCTAATCGATTTCCTTCATCCTCCCCCCTTTGATTGATTACTCGATCAATCAAAAAAACGATGTTGAATTTACATGAATACATATTACAATGAAAAAAAAGGGAGTCATTAGCGTCCTTTAATAAAAGTGGTGACATCTTCATCACGTATAATTGCGATTTGTACATCCTCTTCTTCTTCTGGTACTTTGTCTTGATCAACTTGTTCTAACGAATCTTGAACCTCTATAGGATACAAGTGCTGTATCGAGCGTTTCAAAACTACGACTTTCCCCGAATTATCTGTTGTGCATACTTCTGCTGCACGTACAATGTTGTCTCGCCCTGGTAGGAGTCGCGTGATTTTTCCGAGTTTCCATTTCTGTCTCGGCGTTTTATCGTTGTGAATCGTAACTATATCTCCTTGTTTTGGAATCCTTCGTAATTGTTTTCCTTTTGAAGTATATCTTTCACGAAGCGAAGTCAAATATTCTTTTTTCCACTGTGTAACGAATCTCCCAAGAAGTGTTTCGAGATATTTCGCGCGTCTAGTTAGTGTAGTTTTATCCGAATCTGCGTTGTTTTGCGTAATTTCGTGTTTATCGAGTAATCTGCGACCTGTAATTAGGCACGATGGAGTTAATGGCGTCTGGGTTACGTCTTCATAAACGAAGGTAAGCGGGCGCGAGTTTAGTATCGCTTCAGTCTCAATTAGCACGGTTTCTAATTCTTCGTAAGTCAAGAGAGCGTTTTTTAGCGTTTTTCTCAAACATCGTTTTGTTAGTTTTACCATAATTTCGAATATACCACCCCACCAACTCGCTTTCGGAATATTGAATCTCCAAACAATACCTTTACTATTTACAAATTTTTGCACAGCACAATCGATGAATGTTTTTCCATTATCTGACAAAATTCGCGCTGGTATGCCTCGACGAGATATGAATCGTTTCAACGCACGAATGAAGGTACTTCCACGAAGATCTGGAACGAGTTCTAAATGTATTGCTCTCGTACTAGCACATGAAAACAAGGCAATGTAGCATTTATAAGATTGATTATCATTGTTGTAAATGTCGCGAACGAATAAAGGTCCTGCGAAATCTATACCGATTTGCGAAAATGCAGCGTCTTGAGATACACGATAAGGTGGCAACGGAGAAGCGGAAGGTGTATCATACGGCTTTCCAATCATTTCCTTACACGTAACGCATTTCGATAAAATCGATTTAACTAGTTGCCGACCTTTGCTTATCCAATATTCAGATCGAAGTTCCGTTAAAGTTTCTCTTACCCCGTTGTGTTTTACAGTTTCATGACTTTTTGTGACAATTAAACGTGAAAGATGATGTCCCCTTGGCAACAAGACCGGATACTTGGTTTCGTATGGTAAAGGGGCGTTGTCAATTCTACCTCCTACACGTAAAACCCCTTGTGAATCCGAAGACACTCGTAAGTTTTTCTTTGTTTCCTTGAAACTTTGGTCATTTTCGAATGAACGTTGAGCTTCTATGGCCCAGCGGTTTTTAACTTCGTTAGTAATTTCGGATGGATACATTTCTTCCCGTGTTTCATTTGAGATTTCTCGACGGAGTAACTTAATAAACTTGAAAACGAGCGTCGTAACGCGAATTAGTTTGTCAAAATTGCTGAAATTTTCACAAGGAATAACTGAGTTTAAGCTAACGACAGGTTTAGCTGTTGAAATCAAAACATTCGAGCTTTCTTCGTGTTGTGAAACGTTTTGTTTAATTTTGTTTTCTTGAGACATTTCGAATTTAGGCCAGTGTTCTGCTTTCTTTGTGAGGAACTCTGGTCCATTCCACCAAAGGCTACTTTTTGATAATTTTGAGAAAGCAATACCCCTCGAAACGATATCTGCCGGATTTGTGTGAGAAGGGCAGTAACCCCATTTTTCTTTCGCGATTAACGACCTTACTTGTTTTAAACGACTTTGAACAAACGGTGTTTGAAGTTTTGTGTCGTCGTGGATCCAATACAAAACTACTTGAGAATCAGACCAACAAAATATGTTTCGAATGTCACAAGAATTGCTCAGTGCTTTGTGAACTGAGGACATTAATTGAGCTAGCGTCAAGGCTGCCATTAATTCTAAGCGTGGTATAGTTTCACCTTTCAGTGGGGCAATTTTGGATTTGGCTGCAATCAGTTTGACAATTGAGTCCTTGTTTGTGTTAATTCTTAAATAAACAACAGCGCCATAAGCCGATTTACTCGCATCCGCGAAACCGTGAATTTCCAAGGATAATGCGTCATTGCTTCCCAGGTGTCCCATTATGCAGCGTTCTATTTGAATAGTCGGATTAGCGGAAAGGTCTCGACTAAAATCACACCACCTTTGACAAAATTCCTCTGGCAATTGCGAATCCCAATTTACTTTTAGTTTGCAGACATCCTGAAATAATTGCTTTAGCGGTAACATGGCTGGACACAATAGCCCTAGCGGATCGTAAATTCGCGCGATGCTACTCAATATGTGACGCTTTGTAATAAGCTCCCGCGCGGTGGAATTAAACACGTTGGTTAAATCGAATTTAAACGTGTCCGATTTTTGATTCCATGTTATCCCCAATACATTTGACTCTTTATCCTCGTTCGTTTTGATTGAATTTTCTTCAGTTTTAGATACATTACTGTCCAAAACAGTTAATTTTTCTGCACCAGTAAAAATTTTTTCGGACTGGTGAATGCGATCGAGTAGACCTTGATCGTTTGAGGCCCATTTTCTCATGTTAAAACCTCCTTCCTTAAAACAACGCTTAAGTTTCTCGTAAACTTCGAAGGCTTCATCTTGTGATGCAAATGCGCATGCGTAATCATCTACGTATAGAGATTTAACAACATTGCAAACGAATTTAGGATCAGATTCTTCGTATCCTTTTAAATGATACCTTATAGTCGCGTTTAAAATGAACGGCGAGCAAGTTAGGCCGAAAGGGAGTCGAGCGAATCTGAATTTGGCAATTTTCGGATTATCAATATTTGCGTCTTCCATCCATAAAAAGCGTAAAAGATCTCTTTGTTTAGGATCGATCGAAATTTGCAAAAATGCTTTTTCCATGTCACCAATAAGTGCAACTTTTTGCATTCTAAATCGTAGCAAAACGTCGAAAATGAGTGGAATCAAGTTTGGCCCAGAATGTAAGCATTCGTTTAAGCTCACTTCGCCTGCAGCTTTAGAGCTAGCATCGTAAACTACCCGCAGTTTCGTAGTTTTTCTTTCCTGTTTTACGACACCGGTATGTGGAATGTAATGTTTGGAACCTAGATTGGCGTCATCATCTTCTTCATCTACGCGCTCGATTATGCCTGAATTCAATTGTTCTTTAATAACAGCGTTATATTGCGCGAAAAGTTCAGGTTTAGATTTCAAACGATTAAGTAGCGAATTTAATCGAGTTTTTGCGACATTAAAGTTATCTGGAATTACTGGATGCGACTCCTTAACTGGTAATGAAACTTCATATCGTTTACCATCAAATGTTATTTTATCATTCATAAGAGCGTCAGTTTCAGATTGAGGTTGATTTGATTTGACACCTACGTTCTCGCGGTCCCAAAATTCCTTAATTTCTCGAGTTATTTCGCATTGATTTTCAACAATAATTGAGCCAGTTTTTAAAGTATGGGCTACAGTTATGTTTGATGTACAGCTAGTTTGAGCTGAGACTGGAACTGGACCGCTCAGAACAAATCCAAAACGAGTAAGAATTGCAACCGGACTGAGCGGCTGGTTCCCCCGTACGACTTTATCAAGCAAAAAGCAATGCACGAAATCAGCTCCGATCATTACATCTACCTCTAAATCTGTTAGCCCGTCCCCACTGTCAGCTAATGGCAAGTTTGTTAAATGTGGGAATATAGACTGTGCGATATTTATTACTTGATTTGAAACAGGACTGCAGATCAAATCTACTACATAGGCGTTGATGTAGACAGTTAAATTATCTGCACACTTTACAGCTAATTGAACGGTATCGCATGTTTTTAGTGTGCCCTCGTTATTTCCAAATTCTTTAATTAATACTTTACTCGTTTTAACCGTTGGAAGTTGTAGTCTATCTCTTAATCGAGAAGTTATATAAGTTTTCTGTGAGCATGAGTCTAAAATCAATCTCACATTACAAATGTTGTACTGATTATCAATGCGATGGACTTGAGCCTTAGCCGTTTGTAAAAGTGTAGCGTAATCATCAAAATCTTGAGCAGTGTATAAACTTGTACTTACATAATTCCGACTTTGAGACACATTTTGCTGTGAAGGCTCGACGTAAGGCTGACGTGCGCGTTGTTCAGAGCGATAATGTTGAGGCGATCTTTCGGCGTAATTTGACGAATTTTGTGCGCGCGACCCACAAATTGAAGAATGATGCTTTCCTTTACAATAATAGCAGCATGTTCTGCTCGTGCATGATCGACTGTTGTGTCCTGATTTCAAACAAACGAAACATTTCCTCTTTTCTTGCAATAATTTTCTCCGCGCGTCAGGATCGGTAACAATACTGCAACTCGCCGAGTAATGTTTTTGTCCGCAAAACAAACAATTTGGTATGAATCTGCTTTCAGGTTGGTTGTTTTCAGTGATGAGTGTTGCCACGGTTGGTTGTGGTCTGCGAAAATCAAAATTCTTAGTATACTTAGTATCTCCGCGCGGCTCCTTGCTTCTATGGGTGTCTGTGATGGTCGCTAGAGAACATTTCTCGCGAAGTGTTAGTTCTTCTCCAAGTTGCTCTAACAATCCAATAACATCCCATTCATCTTCGAGTTTTCTGCTGACGAGCAAGCGCAATTCTTGAGGTAGTTTGGACATTATTACCGGCGATAAAACGGCACTATAGCTATCACTTGAAACTCCAATCGATTTCAAGCTGCGAGTCGCTGATTCCATCTTGTCATACAAGGATCGCAAACCTCGTAAATCCTCATTCGAGATAATTTTTGGCAAATCCATAATGCTTTCGATGTGTCGCGATATAATGATTTGCTTGTTTCCAAAACGCTTTTCTAGAAGTTGTATGGCCTCATCGTAATTTTCATTTGTAATTTGCAATCCTGCAATCGTATGCGCGGCATCTCCAACTAACGACTTCTGTAAGTATTTCAATTTGTCAACATTAGAGAGCTCGGGATGTTCATGAATTGTCGATTGAAAACTGTCCCAAAATGTTATCCATTGTGTAGGATTTCCATCGAATATCGTTAGCGATAATTTTGGTAGTTTCACTTTGATTGTAGCGTGTGCTCTTGAACCTGAAACATTTTCGTGCGTGATTGTGTTTCTATGTTCAGTTTCGTCGTGAATTGCTTTGATTCGGCATAATATATCTTCGATTTCTTCTTCGAGTTCACTTCTTTCCAAAATTTCTCGTTCGATATCCTGATCATCATATAAATCTTCGATTTCGTCGTCTAAAGCCTCGATTGTTTCTCTTTTCTTTTCGATTGTGGTACGTAGTGAATCGAGTTTCACTCTCACCGCGCGCGGTGCGGTGTCTTCATCGGGCGGTGGCAGTAGTTCTTTTGCTTTCGCGATAGTATTTTTAATCACTAATCGATGGCCATTTCTCTTCTTGATTTTCTTTTTCAAGGCTTCTTGATCCGCCATTTGTTAATCTGAATCCCAGCGTCACGGCACCATAATGTGGGGGTTTCAAATTAATGACCCTGCGCTGTACAAACGCCTCGTCCCTCTAATAGAGACGAAACTCCAGAAAGGTTCCCGGTTCATTATTGAAAATATATAAAAAGACAAAGCCGAAGAAGCACTGCGAATGTTCTATATAATTATATGTGAAAAGCCTTCTTGATACTGTGAACTTTACATTAAATTTACATATTCCATGTGTGAGATAATTTCTAACGTAGCGTTCATCTTGCGAGTCGTGTCTCTCCTTGTCTGCCTTTTTTTCTTCGAAAAAGTTGAATTGCATGTCATCAATCACATGACCTAATCGATTTCCTTCACATAATTTTCTTAACACATTTGTACAAAGATATGATTTAGTTAGTTTTTCTTTCTTGGTTTATATCTGCTATTATAGCTGCTATGAAATATCTAGGCCTAACTCTAAAATAAGCCAAAAATAGGTCATAATTCAATGCTTAGATGTTAATAAGCATTTACTGGCGCCGACTTTTGCGTCGCGATTTATGCAAAGAGAGTTTACGAAACACGACGCGACAGGTCGAGACGGGCTGGGGGAGTCTAGTAACTAGCGCGACCATCTCATGTTTTTCCAATCCAGCTCGTGGAGGCCAATTTCACAACCCAGATTTTCGATTTTTACGTTGTGAGGACAACGCGGACATTTGAATCGTACGTACACTATCCAGACTTCTTGATTTTGTTAAATTCGGCGATTTTATTCTTTTTGCATCTGATAATGTATTTTGGTTAGATTTTAAGTAACATTTCTCACTTTTTTAGGCCCATTCACGAAGAAGCTGTGAGATGAAATCTCAAGGACCCCACGAGGCAAAGAACCAAAAGTTCGTGAAAATTGTAGTATAATTAATCTGCAGATTTTAAAAACGGTTAAGTTGAGGCAAATAGGAAAACTAATGTCAGACGTTCTACTAAGCTAATGGGCGAGCCCTAAATGATTTCTTTCTAAATTTATGCAAAGGAAGTTATAGTGTGACAGTGCTATTTTTTTGTTATTCATATTTTAACTGAGAGTAGCTGTTCATTTATTTTTAGAAATGTATTTTACCGTTTTTTCTTAAAATCCAACAAAATGAAAATTGCCATAAAGAAATCCATTATATTCCATGTTGCCACTAATCTTTGATTATGTGTTGTTGATTGTGGTACAATTGTTTATTAGTCTGAAATTTGCAAATATAAATTTATTCATGATTTGGATCAGATATGAGTGCTTATTGTGTTTTTTCTATTCTTATGTTCTATTAATTAGGCCAAAAATGACATGGACCTTAGAGCATGACACGCTGCTCTGTAGAGAGATCCTTGTTGAGGAGCCCTTTCATTTTAAAATGGGTACTCGAGAGCGTGGTCACGTTTGGGATAAGGTGGCTACCAATTTAAATAAGATATTTGAACCACGTTTCTCTGTAGATCAAAGAGCAGTGAGGGACCAATTTTTGAAGCTTGAACAAGGCTTTAAAAAAAGATGTCAGAAGAAGAGCGTGCCAGTGGTATCAGCCCACCAGAGCCAACTGAATTGGAGCAAGCGATTCAGGACATTATTGAAAGGGGGGATGAGGCACAGAGTGAAATGGCCAGGGCTGGTGAGAGAGTTGCAGAAAAGGAGAAAGAAACAGCTGAATCTGTAAGGAAACGCTCTATGGAAAGATTGGGAGAAACAAGGGAGAGAGAGTGTCAGGAAGGTGGGAGAAAAAGAAGAAAGGCTGATGGGGACAAAGAGGTGATCGACTATATGCGAGAAAAGACTGAGAGAGATCGTCAACTAAAAGAGAAGAGTTTGAATTGAGAAGAAGAGAGATTGAGGTAAAAGAAAAGGAAATTAAGATAAAAGAGAAAAAGATTGAGATAAAAGAAAAAGAGAAGGAGAGAGAATGGGAAGTTAAGAAGCGAGAGCTAGAAATGAAGGAAAAAAATAACGAGGCAAGGGCAAATAGGGACAGGGATATGATGGTCATGTTTCAGCAGCAGCAAGGGCAAATGCAGCATCAGAACCAGCTGCTGCTTGATGTTGTCAATAAGCTGTTGGACAAATTTACTTAAATTTTAGCCATATTGACACTAGAATTGAGACAGCTTCTATATAAGCTCCAAAAGTTTAAAGGAATCAATTTGATCTAAATGTGTTGAGTTTTACATCATTTGTTTGTTATCCATAAATTTTGTAAAGTATCTTGTATCTTTTATGATTTAGGCCTTTTGTGCATAATTTTTCAGCTCGTCTCGATCTGTCGCGTCTTGTTTCGTAAACTCTCTAATCCTTGCTGTGTTCACACTGGCCAATTTCTGGCAAACGAAAATTGGCAAGTTAGCTCTCCGCGCAGAGCGAGGCTGCGTACTGTGAAGGGTAAGGCCTCTTGACAGAAAGGTTCTCGGAAATAAATTCGTCTTGTTCTTACTTTGAATCCAACTTCCTCAATTACAAATCCTGGTATATTACGAAAACGCCTGCCTTTTTCCTAATTTAGAAGACATACAAGACATCAGCAAGAAGCTGCGCGATACGTGTATCCTCAACAAAGCTATCCCGATCAGGTTTGCCTTTTTACTCTATTTCTTTCGAATCTAATGCGATTCCTTCTGACGCGTTTGAAGTCAATGAAGTCTGATTACTAAGCCCTTTTTCTTATCAGAATACGGTGATTTTTTTGTAATTGCATGGAGTTGGATTTCGATTTCCTGCAAGGACAGAGATAAAGGGGGGGGGCCGGGGGGCCCTCCCCTAAATTTTAGTGCCATAAGTAAAACACTTTTGTATTACTATTTAGTACTTTGAGAAATTATTAAGATTCAAGTTCATTTTTACCCTCTATACAAGCTTGACCCTATCTGAGCAGGTCCTCCTTTAGTGTACCTGCGTCTCTGACACTTTAAACTTTGCATGATAATTGTAAACACGTATTACTTGGCCCTGCATGAACCAAAGTTTTCTTGCTGTTGCTATTTACCGTATTTTGGCGGAAAATCACTTCCCTTTCCAAATCGTTGCCTAAATGGCCACCACGTCAAAGTTAGGGAAAGGAACTTTGAACTATTTTTTCAAAAAGCAGCGAGAAAGAACTGCTGTTTCCAGCAAGTTATCAAATAATCAAGATAACAATGGACTGAACGAATCTAGTAAGGATCCGGGAGATGGGAAGATAATTGCAGTTTCTACACGCAATAGCGTCTTAGGCCTTGGCCTAGTGAACGAGAAAAATGAGAAAAATCAAACTGGAGTTGATGGTTACATGCAAGAAAAATCAAAACATAACGATAATCTCTCCTTTCCGGAAATAGGAGAACAAGCGAATCAACCAGGCACAGATTATGTTTTCCCAAAATGTAACATTGCAGGTCGCCAAAGGTCTTTTCAACACACCCCTCACGCCCCTTTCATGCCGGCCCTGCTGGCCCCCCTAAACAAAAAGTTGTATCTCGGTCCTTGATTTCCTGATTGAATTCGTGATTTCCTGAAAGGTTATTCTGACAGTTACATCCAGTCTAGATAGTTGCCTTCCACTTCGATCTCTGTAGTTTTATTTTCATATTGTTCATGCATTATTGTGAAGTGTCTTTTGTTTCCTTTATTGTGTTTCACTAGATTTTGATGTTTTCAAGCATTTTCTTTACTTATCAGTGCTCAAAATGATCTTGAAGTTTGACATTAAAGATACTTCATTACTGTAACTCCTTAGATTATCTCGCTCAAGGCTTATCGTTTTAGGCAGTTTTTAGATGGAAGCTAACTCAAGGGGAGTTTTGTGAGAGGGCTTATAGAATTCATCCCCAAGTTATCATAGGAATGGATCGTTTCATAGATTTTTCACAATTTTCAATTTTCTTTCATTTGCAATTTTACCAAGCTCTTTCTAAAGGTATCTTAAGTAAAAAATATATTTTCTTACAAATATATGTCCATTGTCCTTGCTTTTTGTTAATGCCTGGTTAATTTTGTTTTTTTTATTCTCTGCTAAGTGTGATGGTAACCATGGACTAAAAATTTGTATTTTTTGTTGTATCTCAATGATGTCCCTATGGGGGCTCATGAAAACATACAAGTTAGTATGTCAGGGTGATGGCTTATCAAAAGGTTTTGATTTGAGGGTTGGGCCTTATTTGAGGGGGATCTTACAAGAGGTAGTCAATTTCGGGATTTATGGTAATGTTTGTCAGACCCCACCAAAAGCAAAATACAATACCATTATCTTTATAAGAAGAATTCAACATTTTTTCAGTTTAGAACCTAGAAAGAATTTCAAATTTCAAATTCATTCAACAATTTTTCCAGTTGAGCCTTTGGGAATGACAATAGCTTAAAAAATTATTGGATAGAGTTTACGTAAGTAAGAAGATTGCAACAGAGCACAAATAAAGCTACTAAATACAAATTTTGAGCTTGGTTGATAAGACCATTCAATTGGTTGATACATCCAATTGATTATTGGTTGATACGACCATTGAATTTATTATTTGGCGAAAGTTTGCATCAAAAGAGAGGAACACAGCTATTTAAGAATTCAAGATTGAGACGCATTTAAGAAATTTAATGATGAATGAAAAGAGAAGGAAAACTACCGAAATGTCGGAAATTCGTCAATGAAATCAATGACGTCAGTCTTCATTGACCTTTATTTGATGTTGAAAAGCTACCATATGATCTTTATTTGATGTTGAGGCCCACATCAACTCTGAATTTAATACGATAACGTTCCTTCTGATTTATCGAAATTGTCGTATTATCCTGTGTCTATATCTTATGCTTTTGTGAAAAGATTCTGTGGAATTTGAATGTCCTTAAAGAGTATTTAAGAAAAGCAACCATTATATTGCAAATTTATTCGATAGATGCAAGAAATATAACGAATTAAGGAAACATGCTAAACACAGATTTTATATGTATGTAGTGCACCTTCAAAAGGCCAAGGTGAGCAACTGATGCGATCCCCAGGCTGCATACTGCGAAGGCGAATCAATCATGACATGTTGTTTCTTGGAAGTTGTTTTTCTTCAAGTTCCTCAATAACGAATCCTTTTATGTTACGAAAAGCATGCATTTGTAGTTCTTCAGAAGACCTGCGTGACACCAGCCAGAAAGAGCACAACATCTTCAAATAAACATTTCTAAGGTTCGGCTTTTTACTCGATTTCTTATGAATTTAATGTGGTTGTTGGTAGTTGAATCTCGCATCTTTTGCGTGGCGTTGTTGGAAGTTAGGCATTTTATCTTGACACTGAAGTTTCCGAACGAACAGCTTTTTTTATTGCATGTCGTTGTATTTCATTGTTGCAATTTTGAATTGCACACAAAATTTTGAAAAGCGTTTTAATAGAATTCCCGGCGGGTTCACTTCTATAAGAATCTATATACCATGTGAGTTCCAATAATTTATGGCCCTTTCTCAGACATTTTTGGAACTAACATGGGTCAGGGCGGCGGTTGAAACATTTCTTGGTTGCCGGGAAGGAGAGGGAAGAGAAGGCATACTCTGATGTTGATAATAGAATGGACCCTCTCCCCCGATTATTGATGTTCGAAAATCAACATTTGTGTGTCATTGAACGTCATTTTAGGCTCATTGTGCCTGTGATGCTTGAAAAAATTTACTACTGGCATGGCAGTGTAGATATAAAATCTTGGTTTTTTAATTATTTGAAGGCCAGTCTGATTTTCAAAACCCCTCCGTTTATTCCTTAGAAAGTCTATACAGACACACACCCCTTAAATTTGAGAGCATTACTTTTACTACAAACTGGATCTCGCCCAGCATCTGTATGGTAACATCCAGTGCATTAAGGCTGCGGCCCCGGTTATGGTGGGTGATTCATCGAACCATCAGAGAGCCTAAATATTTCTAGATAAACATGTTAAAAACATTAAATTACACGGGGATCCAACATATGTTTTGTAGAAAGCGATTTTATTTTGGTTGAAATCTTGCTGTTTTTGATGTTACTTGCTCGTTGCTAGAATAGAGGGAATCCCCATATTCGAAGCCACCGTAAGATAACATGCGTGCAGACTTTACGGAGTAGAAAAAGTCCAGAAGGTGAGGAAATCCTCTTCAAAACTGTTGCTCTGCTCTAGAACTTTTTGAGGAGCAGTATCAGAAAAAGATTACAAAAAGATTAATACTTCAATATTTGGCCCATAATGGCAGCCTTAAATTGCTTGATAATTTCTTCCGGTAGTTAAAAAAAATCAAATTTTGAAAGGCCAGGGTTTAAACTCAGAAAATCTAGATGTAGGAAAGTTTTTTTGTACATCCTTGTAAAGTGAATCGCTAACTTGGGAAGTTTGAATTTTATGGATTCAAAAAAGTGCTGAAGTTGGCAAATGTTTATAATTGAAAAATATTAAAATTTCTTGTCAGGAGCCCAGAATACCCAAATATGTAAGTATTAGAAGATTTAAAAATGATAAGGAAGTCAATTTGGAAAATAAACCTCTCAAAAATTGATTATTTGCTTGTACATGTAGGGAAAAATTCACACATTTTCCAACAGATTGTAGACCTGCCAACTCTCATGGTTTTGTTGTATGTCCCATGGTTTTGGCCTCCATCTAACATGCACACAAGTTTTTATTAATTTCATCCGGTTTTTCAAAAAACCTTTTTTTCAGTTTACCATAGCGGATTTTCACGATTTTTATATTTTGTTCAGCTCTTCTGCTTCTGCAAATTTTAGGCACTAGATAGATAATGTATAATTTCTCTGTTCTTTGAATCACATCACAGAAACAAGTAAGTCAAGTACTGATTTGGTGTGTCTGAAACTAATGTAATAGGAAATTTATGTATGAATAAATCTAGCTATTTTTGGGCCATGTAGAACGCAGCAAAAATCTCCAGTTTTTAGCTAAATCTCCAGGTTTTAAAAAAGAAGAATTGCAAGTATCCTGGTTTTTGAGCTTGGGAGGTTGGCAGGTCTGAAATTGGCACAACTTTGGTTTGGTAAAGTATCCATCAAAAGTTTAGTACTGTTCACTAATTTCGTTCCTTGAGTTTCACTTTTTGTTTGGGTCCTTTCTTAAAGGACCACTAGCGGCATTTCTTTTGAACACTTGACAAAAACGCAACTCAGAAACATTGTCCCAACCTTTTGGGGCTAGCCCCAGACTGAAAGAGAAGGCGCATATCAAGTACTTCATATGCAGAGGCGCCGGAAGCTTCATGATGCCTCGGGGGCAGGAATTGCAGAGAGGGCACTTCGGGGCTGTCAAAGTTTGCTGCTGAAACAGAATCAGGAATCATTGCTTAGCAAACGAAGAAGCCTGGTTGTAGGTGAAGGACCTGTACATGGAGAGAAGGTTGGAAATCTGAGGGCGTAGTCCCCAGGGAAATTTTGTGCAGGGAAATTAAAAACAAAATTTTGTTCTGATGACTATCTACATGGCTTGATATTACTTTCGGATATAACTCCTCTGAACATACTGTCTTTTTTTCTTTTTTGAAAGCTGGTATAATCTGGTAGCTATTTTCAAGCTAAATAAAGCCAACTAATTTTAATTACCAACGCTAAATAAAATTTAAATCAAATATAACTGATGTTGCATACATTTTCCTTGGAAAGATCACAAGTATACAATTGCATGATGGAAATTTTGAGATTTTTTCTTTAATTTTTGTAAAATTGGGGAGTACTTATCTCGTTTGAGACGGAGTTCCATATTTGGCTCAGTCTGTTTGACAAAGATAAGGAACCATATCATTCTATTATTGCTACAAAGGCTGTCTACATAAAGCCTGGCTGCAATGATATAGATACAATCCAGCAGCCAACAGATGAACCTTGACATCGAGTACATATTATGGAATTTTTTCATAATATCTGAATATTAGGTACAAAGTGATCACAAAACCGTTTTTTGCCAGCTTGGAACCCTTGGGCAAATTATTTTATGGGGTCATTTTGATTTTACCCGTTTTCGCCTCTTATAACAGGGATCAGTTCTCAATAGTGCACTAAGAAAAGCCACATAATACATCGTTTGATTTATTTTTTAAAGCTGATTAGAAAGAGTGCACAGAAGTTGATAAAAGGGTCCTCCCAAGCTACTTCATGCTTATTTGATGCCCCCTTTGACCACGCCCTTGAACCCCTTTGAAGCTTTATAAGAAAAAGGGGATAAAAATTAACTTAAAGATTTTCTAGCTAATTATAAACACATCTTTTGAAATTTTTACCACAACCACTACCCACAATAGTCCCTTTTTAAAACCAAATTCTGGCCATGGCAAGCCAATTCTGGTCATGGCAAAAAATTCATTTTTCTTGTTTTGAAATTTCTAGAATTAGAATTTTCAAGAATTTCCCTCCAAAATTTGCTATAAAATAAGCCATTTACTCCCAATTCGTATAATCCAAATTTTTTGTATAATTGAAAAGTTGAAAAAAGTGCCCCCATGGAGTAGTGCTTCTGATACAGTAGTGTATTTTAACAGAAATGTGCTTTATAAGGAAAGTAATATACAATTTCATGGTGTCTGTATTTTCAGATTATCTATTCTACAATAGACAAAAATATTCACCTAGAAACTTGATTCTTTGTCATTGGGAATCAGCCACCTCTACATAGTAAACTCGAACAACTCTAAAAGATTTTTGAGTGTCTCATTTTTTTTGCTGGGTCCCTAAAAACAATGTCTGCATCACTTCTGTTGTTCCTTTATTTACTTCATTTTTTCTTTGAGATAAACAGTAGGAATGATAAATGTTGTAAGTAGGAGTATTTATTTGCTTTAAATATAGTTTATTTCAATCTGTTGCGATGATCAAGAAAATGTATAAATATAGAATTAGTTCAATGACTTAATTGGAATTTCAAAATGCCATGGTTGTTAAAATGGCCCTTAAATGGTTACTGTCCCCTCTGCATTTTGTGTGGTAGATCCATTTCAACTATTTTTAAACATGATTGATAAACAAGAAGTAGGAACATGCATAGAAAGAATTTATTTGGGCCAATGAGTTTTTGATGTGTATTTAGATTGCGGTAGTTTGCTTGCTGATGAAATAAGTAGCCAATTTTATGCTTGCGATTTTGTGAAGGTCTTAACTTGAAGGAAAAACTAATATTTATCCAATATTGCACGCAGGATAAAGTTGTGAAAGTTTAACAAAGGTGGGTCTATGAAATATATAAGTTGCTCTTGCCGTGACAGCAATTTGAACATGACAAGGGTCGATGTTTTTTTCAATCATTGGTTGACAGGCATTGATTTAAGAAATTTTCATCACTGCACAAATCAGCATAAATCGCCGATTTTCGGGGCCAAATCGGGTGTGGCTAGGGGTGTGGCTAAGTTTTGACTGGACCTTCTTTGGACGGAACAAAAACGTTTTACATTATTTTCAGGGCCACTTTCAGTGTAATTCAGCCTAACTACTGATGATGTATACATCTTACCAGAAAGATCCTTTGTAACATAGTCTTTAGACACTTTTACTAACAGAAGAGATATTCTACATAAACGTTTACTTTGTTTGCCGATATGTAAGCATTCTATCAAGTTGCAGGTAAAGATTTGTTAGTTTATACGAAGGATAGGCTTAGGCTCGTTTTTTAGGAGAGTCTTGAAAGCCTACTTTCGGAGTATGAATCAACGGTATAACATTGGTAATACAGGGACGGCGCCACGAAATTGAGCCTAGGGAGGGGGGAGGGGGCTAAGAATGAAGTATAGTGATATAGAAGGACCCACCATGGTTGGGTTTGACGCGAAAGAAAATTTTTGAAATTGTGCCTTCTAGAACGGCTAAAATGCATCTCCTAGACTAAAATTTAACAATTTACTATACCGTTCAGATAAAACAATCTGACGATTCGCAGAAAAACATTGATTACTGATTTTTAGGAAAAATTTGGGAGGGGAGGAGGGAGAGAATTGTATTGATTGAGAGAATTTTACTTCCTGAACAGAAATATGCACCTTCTTTGTCCCGAGTATTTTTAGTAGGCCATGTATACACATCCAAAATGCAGACATTGCAATGATATAGAATCTAGAAAGTTGTCTACTTAATTAATGCAAATAATAGAAAAATGATAAGAATATACCAAAACAAGTTAGCAAAAAGACAAAAGAAAATCAAACAGTATATTAACAGTTTATTCTCTCTTTTT